TTCTATTCTACATAAACTTAAGCATTGAGTTTAGGAATGATCTCAATTCCGTATCGCTATCTTTAACGCCGTAAAACAACTCCGGAACTGGCTCGTCCTTTTTCCAAATCAATTGCATAACGCGTTAAAATAAAATAAGATCGCAATCAGCTTCTTCAAATTCAATATTCTTTTCGAATCCTTTCATATTCTACCAAGCGGCTAAACCCGGCAATTCGTATTCAATCTCATCGGTATTTATTCTAATTTTAACTCGCTAATACTTCTTTTTATCAAAGGAAAAGTAGACGTAAAAAAGCTTGATTAGATAAAGACTAAAAGTTATAATATTAGTTCAATTGATTAAAAGCATAATAAAATGAATTCTTACTTAATTCGTTTTGAAACCGTGCTTGCTAAGTCTTAAGCTATCAATTTAAAGAAAGCTTTCCCACTTTTTAAATTAGCAGCTCGGCACTTCTTTGTCAAAGACCGCGCTACACTTTGCTAATAGCGACGAAATTGCTAAACGGTCATCATATAGCGTGACTTTATATTATTAGCAAAATATAAATATTTAAATAAAATAAATGCTTACCTATGCGTGCTGACGTGCTAATTGCCGAGTGACCTTCTCTATCTCTTCATCGGTAATCGAAACGTATCTATCGCGAGGTATATTACTATTTTCTTTTTCGTCTTTTCGCAAATTAAATTCTTTATAAACCTCTTCGTCTGAATTAAATGCTTTATCAACCCAATCGCTATTCAAGTATTTTCCATTATTGAATCTAATTGTAAAAGAAGCGGCTTGTATAGCAAGATTATCCGCGTAAATGCTTCGATTCTTTTTAAAATCGATTAGTAAATTGCTTAATAAATCAAAAAAAAGAAAAAGTACCGTTCATCTATAAGATTCTTTCGCATTTCGGCCTATCGAGTTTTCCTTTCAGCTTCTAATGCTTAAGAATATTCTAAGGTTTGTTTCTAAATTGCAGAAAGCTGATTAGCGGCCGCTTGATCTCGTCTTTTAGCTTTTCGAAGCTCATCTGCTTAAGGATCTTGTTTCAGCTTTGCTATACGAGCATTAGCCCTTATCGTATAAGGATTGGTTGATAATTAGCCTCTCTTTGGCCTTTCTCTTTAAGAAAAATTAATAAATTAATAAAAGTTAGAATACTACGTAAAAAAGATACTTACTTTGCGCTTGCTAAAGTTTCTTAGCACCGGATTGCTTGCCGCCACGATTGCCGTCGTATCGGCCGCATTCTAAAAAAGACGTTTTTGATTAGTAAATAGATTAGTAAATAAGAAAATGATTCTTACTATAGATTTTTCAATCCCTTCTATCAAATTAAGCTGATCTGTATTTGTAATGATACCTTCTATCGAATCAAGCTGATAAGCGGCCATATTAAATAGTATTATAAAAAAGCCAAACGTTAAAAGTAATTGTTTAAGGTAAAATCAAAAGTAATAAAATAAAGGTGTTAAGATTAAAAGTGAACTCGTATATTATATTTTTAAAACATCTTAGCGCGGCCGCTAGTGAATTCACGAAGTGATAAGGCAGCCGCAGCTAAGATAAGGCGGCCGCCTCGCGCAATTTTTACTTTATAAAGTAAAGTCTGATTCCTTTCTACTATTACTTAATAATCAATTATAACTATCGCTTTCCTATTTGCTACGCCTTTAAATACAACGCTATTTATTGCTTTGTAAGGTCGTCCCTTTCTTGTTTAAAATTATCAACTTATTAATCGTAAATTAGATTATCGCGATCAAGTCCCTTTACTAATACTTTCAAATAGCCTTTCTACCAAACGAACCTTTGCTTTCGGACCGACCTCCTTCTACCGATATACCAAGCACTACGGCTAAAAGAAATAACGCAAGCCAAAATAAGTTAATTGATAAAGCAATTGAGAATCAAGCGATTGAGGGTCAAGCGGCTAAAGGTCAAGCGGCTAAGGGTCAGGCGGCTGAAGGTCAAGCGGCTGAAGGTCAAGCAAATAAGGACGAAGCACAAAAAGGTGAAGCAGATACAATACGCGGCGAAAGCGTAGAAGAAGAAAACTTAAATTTGCAAGGTGAACAAAGTAAGTTTATATTTAATTAATCGGAGTACTACTAATACTTTTTCAATTACTTTGCTTAGCGCAAATCCTTATCTTCAGTCTAGCAAAGCTTAATTGGCTACGGATGCGCTAGACCTTACTTTTACTAAGCGCCGCGCTACTACAACTCGACAGCTATCCGGTTAGTATTTAATTAGTAAATTGATTAATAAATCAATTGCAAATAGCTAATAAGCATTTACAAAAATTCTTAACCTTACTTTTGCTAAGCGCCGCGCTATTACAACTCGACAGCCATTCGGTTAGTATTTGATTAGTAAATTGATTAATAAATCAATTGCAAATAGCTAACAAGCATTTACAGAAATTCTTAAAACCCTGCGCGGTATTGCAAGTCCATAACAAAGAACCGATTTATCCTCGTCCTTTTCTCGCCGAATTTCTCAAGGTCAAGCTAGTAAGTATTAATTACTTTATTAATTAATAATTGCTAATTTCTATTATTTTAAGTGACGCTCTTTAAACACTAACAAACTCTCGCGCAAATACAGACTAGCACTTATCATCTCTTAGACCTCGATCCGGTAATATTTTTAACTTATAATTAGTAAATATTTATTAATCAAATTTTTCTTTAATAAACGCAATCAGATTTACTCCGGCTATTCAATCCGAAATAAACAAAAGCATCGTTCTTGATAATACTAGCATAAGTACTAATAGCTTTCAATAAGTTTAATCTTTTTAAACCTTTTTCTTTCGTTCGCTAATTGTTTTAAAACTGCTTTAAAAGCAACACAATAATCGACGAGCTAAGCGAGTGCATCAGCTCAGCTTTAAAACGAAGATCCGTCTTACGACTTAAGTGCTAAAAACAATTCTTTTGCAGCTGCTAAACTTTCTTTTGCTTTTATTAGCAATCGTACTAAAAAAGCTTTCGCGCAAAAAGCTCTTAAAAGATCTCTCACTGTCCCGGGCCTAATTATAGCTACAAAAACCGCGACGAAGACGATGCTTTATAATGATACAGATAAAAAAGAGCAAGGCGATAATAAAGAAAACTCAAGTGAAAATGATATTCCTCTCTCTCAATACAAAAGAGCTAAAAAATCATTCTCGACGGCTAAAGCTGCTCGCTCCGTTCCATCAGCTAGCAAATCACTTTCGGCAGCTAAAACTTCTTCTCGTTAAAAATCTAAAAAAGGCAAGTATCTTAAGAAGTCTGCAGTTGTTGCGAAAAAAGAAGGTCTAAGCTAACGAAAGCGCCGTCGCTACAAGCCAAGAAGTAAGTTCAATCAATTAATAAATTGATTCTTAAGTACAATTACTGATTTATATAACTACTGCGTTAAAAGAGATCCGACGATACTAAAAAGGCACCGAGCTTTTTATCAAAAAGACTCTCTTCTAGCGTCTTGTTCGAGAGATCACTTACGATTTTAAACAAGACTTTAAATTTCAAAGCGGTGCTTTAGAATGTTTACAAAAAGCTTCAAAGGCATTTTTCGTAAGAGAGTTTGAAAGTAAGTACTTATATATTTATTTACTAATCGATTTACTAATCGATTTACTAATCGATTTACTAATCACTTTTAATAACGAACTTATATGCTATTCACGTTAAACGAGTAACGATTCAAAACAAAGATATAGCGTTAGTTAAGAAATTGCGGGAAATCATGACTGGAAGTTTTGTTTAGTAATTTTAGTTTATTATAATGTAATACAATGTAATTATAAAGTATAACATATGTAATTAATAAATATAATAAATAAATATAATAATTAAGTAAAATTAATAAATATTCGTAAATTTGTTTTATTTTTAACGGCTTTACATATATTATTTTTAGCTGTCCTACTTTAAACCTATAAGGTTTCCCTATCCCCCGTAAGGAATTTGACTTAAAAAAATCCTCCTTATAAGGTTTAAAAAAAAAGTCCCCTATCGGCCAAGACCTTATGGGGGGAATGGAGAGGAAAACCCCATGGGGCCCCCACCCCATAGAGCAGCCTAACTAATATAAAAGCATTTAAAAAGATATGCTAAGTAGAAGCTTAGCTTTAAAGCTAGACTTTATAATCTTATAAAAAGAAGTGTTAGAAAAGGTAAGTGGAAAGCTCGTTGATTGTTCTAGTTAAGAGATGTGTGCCTTCTTATAGAAGATAGGTCCGTTTAGTATGGCCTTAGTGGCCATGGCAGGTACCCCATCAGGCAGGGTGTTTATACTATTATAAGCTGTACTTTACCGCTTTGCTTAATCGCCGAAACGGAAACTACAAGCTCATCGCTTACTCGAAACCTTTTTAGCTTTTTAAATGTAATAATAATGCTCGAGTAATTGCGATTAAACACGACGCTAATACTAAACGACTCGTGAACCGTAATTCACGAGTAGAAGACAGAGTTTTAAATTACTACTTAATGCTTTACAGCGTAAAAAATTAAATCGGAAGCTTAAGTATTTAGTTTAATAGCTATACTTACGACACTACCCTTAAAAAGACCGTTAAATAGAAAGCTTTTAAACTTAAGTCGAAGACCTTAAATACTTTTAAAAACATTGCGCTACGCTAACCTTTCGTTATAGTTAATGATCTCGCCACTTTTATATCCGTTATTATAAAACAAAGTGTTTTCTTAAACATAAACGCTTTTTAGAATTCTTTTTGCGGATAAGCTATCTTTTTTAATAACTATACCGCTTTATTAAACGATAGCACTTTAAAAAATAAAGTTAGCTTTGCAAAGCACGCTTGTATTATCGTCTTAAAACGTATGCCGCTAACTTTTCGATAAAGAGTTATTAATGAATCAAGCTAGCCTTTCGCTGCCACAATCTAACTAAACTACGTTAGTTTCGTATTAAAAGCTTTAATCGAAAGAATAAATTAAAACGAACCTCGAATAGTAAAAGAATTGATCGCTATCTTTATTATATCTCGGACTTAATTTTAAAAACACTTTATTAAATATAAGAAGAAGTTGTTTTCGGCATTTAGAAAAGGATTTGCTATTATAATAGATGCGGAAGCTAAGACTTACGAAGCTAAGTCTTTTTTTAAAAGCAAGAGCCGCCGAGCTAACGACTTTATAAACGCCGATAAGTTAAAGGATTTTAAAGAAAGCTTGCGATCGATTGAGTTATTTTTTAACGATTTCGATTTAAGTGTAAAGATTAATTTAAAAAGTGCGAAATCTACTCGTAAACTACGGTTTACGAGCTAAATCGACGATCTTAAAGCATCATCTTCTTAGCTAGAATCCTTAAACCGCGCATTCGATAAAGCTATAAAAGCTTTAGCTGACTTGCTTGAAGACGAAGACGACTTAACTAATAGCTTTAGACTTTATTTTAGCTTCGCTGACTTTCCGTCGGCTAAGTTTACACTTATCAACGACGCTATTAATAAGCGTAAGAACGATACGCGCTCTTTCACTCTTAAAGATGCTATTGCTAGTACGTTATCGTTTAATACTAGCTTTATTAAGAAAAGAAAACCTTCTTAGCTTAAAGAGAACGAAAGAGTTGAGGACGTAAGCACGGAAAGAGACTATAAAGAAGCTGCTAAAGCGTAGTTTAGATGTTTAGAGTTTAAAGACAAGATACTCTTTCTTTCTTTTATATATTAGATTTTTTTTTTCTATTACACTTTCTTTTTTTCTTTTTGCTTAATAGTAAGCGGGAGCGCTTATTTATTTTATAAGAAGACGGATATAAACACTTTGCTTGATAAAGTACTTGTTATAGCTACTAAGGCTACACTAAACGGACCCATTTTTTATAAGAGGGCACACATCTTTTAACTAGAACAATCAACGAGCTTTCCACCCACCTTTTTTAACATCTCTTTTATAAAACTATAAAGTCTAGTCTTAAAGCTAGGCTTTTATACAGCATATCTTTTTAAGTGCTTTTATATTAGTGACCTACGCAAGGATTCAAACCTTTGGTCTTTGTCTTTATACAGCTTATTATAATCGCTTAATTCGCAGTCAAGTTGATCTTCGTTCATCATTCAATACTTTACTTTATAACTACAACTTTAAAACAATCAAAACTTTATTCCCGATAAGTTCGGACACCGAAACGCCGAAATGGCCGAAGTACAATATTTCGGCTTTCCGGCAAAAACTCTCTTTTATTATCAATAAGAAAGAATTTTCACTTATTAGTAAAAATATCTTTCTATACCTCAGCTCTTATCTTGAATTAAAGTAATTAATATAGTCCGGAATTGTTAGCGAAGCTAATCAATTGATTCTTAAGTTTTTTATAGTTTTAATCTTGTCTATTAGTTTACCTTTGCAAAAGGTCTACTCTTTTTAATCTCGAATCGAAAATACTTTACGAAAATCGCTTATTTTACTCGTGAACTCGGTTCACGAATCAAAATCAAACAATTCAAAAACCTTTTATCAACCCGATTATTCTTAACACATATATATATTTGATCTTTAAAATACTAAAAACCTTTTTAAGATTTTTAATATCGAAGTCGGCGCAAAATCACTTTCTTTTTCGTTAGAATCCTTTGAATTTATTAAATCTTTTAGTCGTATTCTTATAAGCTTTAGACTATCTTTATCTTACTTCGATTTTTAACTTGAACTTTTACCGCTACTTTTATCGAAAACACTTGCTTCGGAAATGCTTTTTAAAATAAACACCGGTCTTAAGATCTATACTATTCTTTTTCTTTTTGCTTTTTTTGCTTTTTTACTAAGCCTTGCGCTAGTTATAATCGACCTTGCTATCTTTTACGCTTTTATAACTATTCGTATGCTATTATTAAGCGCTTTAAGAGCTCTTTGCTTTAATAGTGTTAATATCATCGACTTCATCGAGAAGTACGAAGAAATTTATAATGACTTTAATATTTTTAAAAATGATCGGTTTATTAAATTCCTTCGTTATTGCAATAACTTTCGCAAAAAAGTTATTAAAAGCTTGCTCGAATAGAAAGCTAAGAAAGATTAAGCTGCTTTCGTTAAAGCTTTAAAAGCCGAGTTTTATAAAAACGATATTTAGCAGATTAAAGACTTAATCGCTTTCTTGCGAGAATTTGCTATACAAGAACGAAATGTTAATAACTTAAAAAACTACTATCGTACTTTCTCTCGAGTCTTCGAAAGGCTTACTTCAATGCACCTTTTAAGCAAGACCGAATAAAGCCGTTTATTCTTTTTCGAATTGCTCGTCGGAATCCGAAACAAAACGATTAAGCATTATAAAATCGACGAACTCGATTTAAACTCTTATGCTACTTTCGATAACTTCGCTGCATTCGCTCTTAAGATCGATTAAAGTGCTAAGACTATCGAAGCTATAAATCGAGAAAAGTCTCTTTCAGTTAACTTTATTAAAAATATTCGGACTTTAGTTAAAGAATACATCGAGTTAGCTAGCGTTCTTAAGTCTATTAAAAAAGCCTTAATAGTAATGCCGTTTACTCGTAAACCACGGTTCACGAGTAAAAAAAAAGAAATTGATAAAATAAGTTTTATAATTAAGAAGTTTTTTAACTTGCAGATTAATGCGATTTATAATCGAATTGATTACTTCGAAGATTAAGTCGCTAACTTAACTTCTCGACGCTTTATTTAATCTTAACTTTAAGTTCGATTCGAAAATCGCGACGAAGCTTTTATTAAGTATACCGTTTAAGATGCTCGAAGTAAAGTCAGCTTCGAAAGTAAAGTTTAAATTGCTATTATCAGTTACGAATTACAAAGACGAAAAAGAAGAAAAAGTAAAAGATACGAAAGCTAGATGCAAGATTATAGCTTTTATAAGAACTTCGAAGACACAACTTAAGCTCTTTATTAATACCGGGATAAATATAAAGCTTTTAAAGATATAATTAATAAAAGATGTATTTATATTAATGATTATAGACGCTTTTACTTAAGACTTAAAAGGATCGGTGCTCTTATTATTTAAAAGAAGCAAAGAAAGACTTAGTTCAAATCTATCGTGCTAAACGTTCGTAAAACGGAATACGACAACATTTTAAAAAATCGGCTTACTAGCGGACCTAAGACTTATAAACACTTACTCTTTTATCAACAACCAATTTAATAATTAACTTAGTATTAGCCCGATTAAAATACTTAATAATTAACTAACTAGCTAAAAGAGCTTACTATTATTTTTAAAAGACTAATCGATATTAAAAATATTAATGCT